AGCGCCGCGCTGGGGAGCCCGCCTGCCGCCGCCTCGCCGCCCCCGCGCCGTCGCTCTCCTACCTTTTCCGTGACGCAAGTGGAGGAAAACTCCGAAAGTTTGCAAAGTGCTGGAGGACGCCGGAGCCGCGATCGCGAGAAGGGGGGCTAAGGGAAGGTGTGTGCTGAGCCTCAGACGCGGGGGTCCCACCCCACGGCCCCTCACCCCGGCTTTGGGGGTCTCGGCGGTGCGCTGCTCTTGGAAGGGAGCTTTGAAGGCTTCGTTCGGCGGCGTTTTCGTTGAAGATGCCTGATCTTCCCGGGGATCCACTTAGGCTACACTGCAGATCCTAGAGTCCTAGCCAGAAAGGGCCAGAAGCACCCCTGAGCTGGGCTGTTTCCTTCTGGGGGTAAAACTAGGCCCTCAGATAGGTCAACTGCCTTTGAGAGTTTGATTTATAGGCCTCTGATTTCAAAATCCAATTTCATTGGTACAGTGAGTGGATCTGACCTCCTATGCTGGACTGTCATAATAGAGACTCATGTACAAACCTCCGAAACCCAGGCATTAACTTGCACTGAGGAATAAAACTGTCAAGCAGATCTGATTTCTGGCATCAATAGGTCAAGATAGTTTGGCCTGCGCCATGGGAAACTCAGTTACTATAAAATTAGCCCCCTAGCCTGGATCCCCAAGAGGGAAGAGGTAGTCGCATGACAAGTCTCTCAGCCAAGAAACCTCGAGATCTTCTGTATGTGTAGGAGTAGCCTTGGTTCTGTAGGATTTGGTTCATCCTAGTGTCCACGTGACCAAAGTTTGTTTGCCAGCTGCTTTTTAGGGTGCCTCTTCTCTGTGATGCCCATCTGTTCACCTAGAATCCTTCCAAGCTGAATTTAACAATAGCGACTACTTTTAGTGTTTGCTGAGTGCCAAACACTATTGTGACGTTGACTTTTATTAGCTCAGTTAATGCAATTGGTAGGATTTTTGCTCATCCAGTTAGAGTCCTAGCCTGGTCCCTATCTCCTGAGGGACCCCTGCCCAGCCCCAACACCCAGGACAGGCCTAGCTACTGCCTTGATAGCCTTTAGATGGTTCCCAAACACTTCAGTCACAGTCTTGGATGTAACCCCACTCTGCTTTTGGATGGGTTTTTTGAATGCTCAGAGACCTCCCCCCTTTTTTGCACATCCTGGGGGAGAATATATAGGCATTTCCAGAATCTTTATCTTCTGTTCCATTCCTTCCAGGACCTCTTTAAACCTAGGGGTAACAGAATCCCAGTTACCAGTCTCAGGAAACTGCACTACCTTTGTGATTCCACTATACCCTGTCTATTCCTTTGAGAAAAGACTCTTCATTTAACTCAAAATATCCTAATTGGAGTGTGTCCTCTTTGCTGCTAGGCCCCTGAACTGCCCCCGAGGTGACCCATATGGCTCAGCAGACCTCTCCTGACCTGCCCGCTGCTCCCCTCAGCAGTGTACTTCAGCCATCTGTCTGTTCTGCTCCCCACTCTGTCTCTGGCGAATCCTTTCGCTGCCCCTGTATCTCTGCCCTGTACCCCACTTCTATATCCATAAATAAATAAATCTTTAAAAAAGAACAGACGACCGGCAGCAGTCTTTCTGCCCACCTGTGCCTATCTATGCAGGTGCTTCTTTCCACTATTTCCCTCCACAGGGCAGCAGCCTCCTGCCTGCCCATGATCTGCCCCATGCTGGGGCTTGTCTTCACTGACCTCCCTTGGCAGAGGCAGCTCCCCTCAAGTCTGCCCCACTACAAACATCAGGCCTCTCTTGGCAAACTTGCCCCTTTCAGATAAGCTTTTCTTGCCCACTTATGTCTATACAAGTGTCTTTTACTCTTCTGTCCATTTCCCTAGTAAACCTGTTCTTTTAAATTAAAAAAAAAGAAAGAGCATCTTGGGCCTTCTGTGGCGGTGGCTCAATGGGGTTGGGGCACTGCACTGTGTAGCTATCTGTATCCATTGCAGTTTGATCCTGGCCAGCCAGACAGGGAGCTGACCCACATGGCCCGGGAGGCAGACCTCTCCACTCAGCAGTGTACTTTGATCTGCCTGTTCTGCTCCCCGTTCTGACTCTGGTGAATCCTGTCACCCCCTGCACCTCTGTCCTGTAGCCCAGTTCTTATATGCATAAATAAATCTTTTTTTTTAATTATTTTTTTTAAAAGGAGGATTGAGGGAGAAGGGAGGCAAATCCCATTAGTGGCAGCAGAGAGGACATTTTATAGTATTACTGTTACTGTAGTAACAAAGACAAGCAATCATGTGAGTTGAGGCAGGAAACATGTAAAGGACTGGTGAGAAATAAATCTGGGGGGTTGGGAAGGTAGAATAGACTGGAAAGGCAACCAACAAGATGTAGGTATTGTAGGAGGAATCAACCAACATCTTTGAAAAAATAGATTCTTGATTACACTTTTTTCACCAACCACTGCCTCACTGCTCTGCTCACCTTTGCAGTAAAATTCCTTAAAATGTCTATTTGCAATGTCTTCCCTTTCTCAGCTCTTTTAAAAAGATTTTTTTTTTTTTATGCAGGTGAACTGGGATGTAGGTCAGAGGTGGGGGGAGGGAGGTTATAAGATGCTTCACCAGAGACAGAGTAGGGAAAAGAACAGGCAGATCTACTGAAATACACTGCTGAGGGCAGGTCAGGAGAGGTCTGCTGTGCCCTGTGGGTCAGCTCCCTGGCCAGGGATTGCACTCGTGCTGCAGTGGCTGCAGATAGCCTTATAGTGCTGTGCTCTAATCTCTTGCCCCACCAAAGAGGCCTCCTCTCTCTTCTTAAACCCCTTATTCACCTGGTCTTTCATCACCACATTCCACTGAAACTATCCTTACGAAGGTCAGCAATGACCACTTACTCAACTTCTCAGTGGCATTTGAACTCTCAGGAGCTGGTTACGCCATCCCCTGCACACACTTTCTTCACTTGCCTTGAGATTGTTCTCTCTTGATTCCTGCAACCTCATCCTTTTCTCAGCCTATTCTTAACGCTACTGTGACTGCAATAGAGTGATCCTCTTCTCTACAACAGTCATTCCTTTGATGATTCACCCAGGCTCATGGTTTCCAATACCATCTCACCTATCAACATTATGTCCCAATTTCTTCTTAAGTCTCCAGTCCAGGCCTTTTTCTAAAACTTCAGACTCACTTATCTTCCTTCTTGATAATGACCCAACATGTCCAAAACTTAATTTCTAATCTTGTCCTCCAAACCTGTTCTACTTGGCAGCCTACCCCTTCTCTGGTGATGAGTATTTTCACCTGGTTGCTAAGGTAAGGCCAAAAATTGGAGCTATCCTTTATTCTTCTCATCCTGAGTCTCCTCTCTCATCAGCATCTCTGATCCTGGCCACCAATCTTTTTCACCTATTATCACTGCAACAGCTTCCTAACAGTCTTTGTGTTTCCTGCCATCTGAGTTTATTCTCAAACAGCAAAGTGATCCTTTTAAATTTAAGTTAGATGTCAATCCTTTACTCAAAACCCTCAGTATCCTCACTTCTCATAACACCAAAGTCCTGGGCCTCTCTGGTGGAACAGTGTGAGATGAAGTCTCACTGCTGTATCCTCTCACCCCCCATAACTCTGGCCTACACTCTTGGATGTATAAATAAAAATAAATCTTTAGGACCCTCCCTGGTGCCACAACGGGTTAAAGCACAACACTAGGAAGCTAGCTGCAGCCACTTTAGTACAAGTTCAAGTTTGATGCCCTGCCAGGAGGTGACCCACGTGGCATAGAAGACCTCTCTTGTCTTCCCCCCTCCCCTCAGCAGTGTATGTCAGCCAAGCTGCCTGGTCTGCTCCCTGTTCTGTCTTTGGTGAATCCTCTCACCGGTCCTACACCTCTGGCCTATATCCCAGTACTGTATGCGTAAATAAGCAAAAATCTTTCTTAGAGTCGCCTTTCTTCTCCCATTTTTAGCCCACTCTGCTCCAGCTATTCTTCTGACATACCAGCATGCCTGTCTTAAGGTTTATGTGTACTGTTTCCTTTCCCTGAAATGCTCTTCCCCTGTATAGCCACATGGATAAACCCTATAAAGTAACACCTTAATAAGACTACTCTGACATACCCTGTTTAAAATTACAACCCATCCTTACCCCAAGCTTTCTATCTCCTGCTCAGTTTTGTTTTCTAACACTTATCACCTACTAACATATATCATTTACTAATTTACTATGCTTACTGTCTGCAGAGAAGGTAGTTAAACTAAAAGTCCTGCTGCCGACAAGCTGAGCAAGTACGAAGGATGTGAGGCTAGAACAAGACGAGGGGATGAAGTGCAAGCTGGGAGAAGGGTGTGCACTATATGTAATGAATGGAGGACTTTAAAGAACACCGCCAAACCCCTCCCTCGTGGCGCAGCGGGTCAAAGCACAGCACTAAGAAGCTAAAGACACTTCAGCATGACTTTGATACCCCGCCCCGGAGGTGACCCACATGGCGTGGCAGACCTCTCATGGCCCGCCAGACCTCTCATGGCCCGCCCACTGCTCCCTCAGCAGTGTCCTTCATCCATCTGCCTGTTCTGCTCTCCACTCTGTCTCTGGTGAATCCTCTCATGGCCCCTGCACCTCTGGCCTGTACCCCAATTCTGTATAAATAATCTTAAAAAAAAAAACCACCACCACCAAACCCAATTATAAAAAGGCAAACAATCTGTATTAGTTTCCTATTAAAGTAGTAACAAACTACCACACACTTAAGACCCTAAAACAACACAAATTTATTGTTTTACAGTACTGGACAACAGAAATCCTAACTGGGTCTCAGTGGACTTATACCCACTGATATCAGCAGATGTCAGTGGGCTCTAAGAAAAAATCCATTTCTTTGTTTTTTCCCCACCTCCTAGCTGCTGATCACATTCCTCTGCTCTTGGACCCCTTTCATCTTCAAAGCCAGCAATTATATCACTCCGATTTCTGCTTCTATTATCACATTTCCTGATTCTTCTCCTTAGTTCACTTAGAAGGACGCTTGTGATTACAGGTGACCCACCCAGACAATACAGGAAAAAATCTCATCTCAAGATTATTAATTTAATAAGACTTCCTTCCAAGTGGGCCTCTTAGGGTTTGGAGAGGGAAGCTCTATTCTACTTCCCACATAATCCAGTAGAAAAATAGACAAGACAGGAAAAAGCACTTCATAGAAAAGGACATACATATGAAACCTTTCTGGGGTAAGAAAATGCAAATTTGAATCAAAATGAAATGCCATCCCACACTCACCAGACCAGAAATATTTTAAAGAGCTGACAACCAAGGTTTGTGAGAATGATGAGTAAGGGGAAGGCTCACGCACTGCCAAAGAAGTATACATTGGCACAGCCCCTTGGAAAATTATTTGGTGATATTTAGTAAGGCTGAACATGCACATGCTTTATAACAACTTTACTCCAAGATGTACACTAGAAACTACTGTATAGGTACAACAGAAGGCTGACAGAAGTGTTAATAACAGCCCCGCTAAAAATAGTTCCTCCATAAAATTCATTGGGAAGATGGGTTAATAAGATAAAGCCAAATAGTGGAATATTATGCAACAGTAGGAAAACAAGGCAAAAAACTACAGCTATATATAATGAACTCCATATGGTATAATGAACATATCTCAAATGTCAGTGAGAACATAAATTACCTAGGTATTGCTTTAAATGAATATTCCAAAGATCAGGAATGGAGAATCAGTATGCATTTCCAACAAGCTCAAGTTGGTCCCCACCTACACTTTGAGTAAAAAGGCCCTCGGTATATTTAGGAAGATAAAGATAAAAAAAGCAGGAGAGAAGTAACTTTACCACAGGCTGGGAAAGTGGATGGAAGAGGTAGATGAAATGGGTCCTGGCGACGTTTTCTTAAATTGGCTGATGGGTTCGTAAGCACTCGTTATACTTTATGAGTCACAAATGTCACACACACACTATTTTCCACCTATCGAGTATTCTACTTAAAAAGACAGAAGTGAAAAACATACAAAAATACAGTACATGATCAGCGATGACGCTAGGTGGAGCCACAGGCTTGCACAAATAGAGATTAGTCCTGCAGCGCGACCCTCAGAATTTACAGCCAGAACTAGCCGAGGGATTGTACAATGTGTTAATACCCGGTGGCCAGACGTCCACCCTGTCGAGCGAATTCGTTCAAGCCCAAACTAAAGAGTCATGACTTGTGTTACTCTGTGTCCCAAACTCACTGGATGGAATGAATCACCCAGCACCCTTGCTAACAAAATATCCCTAGGTGGCTCCCGAGTAGAAGTCGTGTGCGCTTAGGAAGCGGCTCAGTTTTTCAAAGCTTCGGTGGCGCCCAGCCCGCTCAGGCAAGGAGAGCGCCTGGCGGGGGACCTGACGCTGGCGAGTGGCCGGGACTCGACTCCAGCCGGGCGGCGCCAGGAGGTCCGCCACAAGGAGGATCCCAACAATCTGCACCACAAGCCCACCCAAGCCAGCGCGCCGGTGCCTCCTCCCCGGGCTCTCAGCTCCGGTTGCGGGGTGGCACCCGATGCCCCTGAGAGTCCCGGGTAGAAGAACGTCTGTTTCTGCAGCACTGGGACAGCGGAGCTGGGCGACTTAAAGCCACGCTGGCTCGCTCCTGGCCCGTCTGGCGCCGAGGCGTTTCTCCCGCCTCCTCCGCACAGGCAAACTCGAAGGGAAGACACGCGAGATGCAGATGCGGAGGCGTGGCCCCATTCAGACCAATGGGAGGGGAGGGCGGGGCCCAAAGTCATTCTCTCATTGGCTACCCCCGTGGCGGGGGTGCGTGCGCCGAGGCGGAAGTCGAGCACGCTTGGAACCTCCCTTTCAGTCTAGGGTCCTGTCTCTCTGCAGCCGCCATCATGGTACGGAAGCTGAAGTTCCACGAGCAGAAGCTGCTGAAGCAGGTGGACTTCCTGAACTGGGAGGTCACTGACCACAACCTGCACGAGCTGCGCGTGCTGCGTCGTTACCGGCTGCAGCGGCGCGAGGACTACACGCGCTACAACCAGCTGAGCCGGGCGGTGCGCGAGCTGGCGCGGCGCCTGCGCGACCTGCCCGAGCGCGACCCGTTCCGCGTGCGCGCTTCGGCCGCCCTGCTGGACAAGCTATACGCCCTCGGCCTGGTGCCCACGCGCGGCTCCCTCGAGCTCTGCGACTTCGTCACCGCTTCGTCCTTCTGCCGCCGCCGCCTGCCCACCGTGCTCCTCAAGCTGCGCATGGCGCAGCACCTCCAGGCCGCCGTGGCATTCGTGGAGCAGGGCCATGTGCGCGTAGGCCCAGACGTGATCACCGACCCCGCCTTCCTCGTCACGCGCAGCATGGAGGACTTTGTCACCTGGGTCGACTCGTCCAAGATTAAGCGGCACGTGCTGGAGTACAACGAGGAGCGCGATGACTTCGATCTGGACGCCTAGCAGGTTTCGCCGCGGCTGCGTTGTACAGACGGGAACACTGAGGGCTGGTGCTGGCGATACCGTGGGGGGTGTCAGCCTGTCATCTGCCCTTAAGAACTTGACACTTCCGCTGCAGACCTTGCACATAGCCAGAACTTGGACTAGCGGATAATGACTGCCTTGGAGGGAGAGGGGGATCCATGGGAACTGTTTGGTGCTGGCTTGAGAGTTGTTAAGAGTCTGGTGCAGAAACTGTCGTACCTGAAGGGAGAATTTACGCTGCGCCACCAGCAGCAGCTCTGTCACACACTGCTGTTACCTTGTAATCGGACCCTTAGGTTTTATTTATTTAACTCACACCCTTGCTCCTGTCTAAGCGGTGTGGTGACTGTGTGAGACTTGAGTATTCAAGGGCCCCTCCCTTGTTTAAAGGAATGCTTTCCTGATGCCAATAAATGGGCTAACTGCTTTGTAAGTCCGCATTTTTTGTCTGGTTTTCTCACGTAAGCTCACATCTGTGGGTTTCTTTGGCTCAAGAACCCAGAAAAGAGGGCTTGGGTCAGCAGGGATCTGCTGTGGGTGAGCTTGGCTGCAGGGACTCATGTGGAGTTTGCAGGGTTGAGCAAATTTGCCAGTTTAAAATCCTTCCTGAGAGTGTTTCAGCAGAGCTCTTTCCCACAGGACTTCCTGTTGATATTCCACCCCCAGGAAATACCATATTGAGCAGCCCAGAGTGTGTGCTTGCTTAAGGAAATAATCACCCTGTAGGCCAGCCTTCTGGTGGGTAGAAGTGGCCCAGGAGTTTCCTGGAAACTTGGATATTTTGGGGAATAGTGGAGAACTGGGAGCGTAGGCAGGCTGTCTCATTTTATCTAAGATTTATTCAGAGATCAATAGAAGGCCAAGACTTTTTGGCTTTTTCATGTGCCTGCTCCATTTCCCCAAGCAGCATTTGGTGAAGAAAGCAAATTAGTTGTCCAGATGTGTGTTGTGGTTGGAATGGAAAGAAAGGTGACATTGAGGATATCTGTAGGAAACGTTGGGAAGATTAAAAAGTTCTATTCATCACTTTTCAGGTGAGGGAACTAAGGCTGGTAGGGGCCAAATTTTCCAAGATTGTTTACTCAGTAGTGGAGGGGGAACCACACTCCCTTTGTCATCGATGTTGGCTTGACACAGCAGGGCCTTAGGATGTGTCAGGGTTTCAGAGTTAGTCCTGTTTGTTTTCAAGCCAGCAGAGGGGCAGCAGCTGGATAGAAATCTTGCCATCTACACATTGGAACAGGGAGCAGGTGCTGAGCTGCCAAGACTTGACATTCACTGAGCCCCTAGCTGGGCTACTATTGCTCTTCCCAATGGCGCAGCTGGTGGTATTCACACCTTTTGCAATTTAGAAAACGGAGACTTGGGATAAGAACTTGTCCAAGGCTGAGGGTCCAAGTCCAGCCTCATGTGACTCCAAAGGCCATTTTCTTTTCAGTGCTATCCTTTTAGTGGGAAGAGACTCCTCAGCTCTGGTGATTGGGCATAATCTCTGCCCACTTGAATGTCCTCAGAGCTCCCAGGATTGGGGATCTCATAGAAGAAGAGTATGTTGGCTCTAGAAGGCAGGAACCCTCTGTGACTGTGGACCCACAGAACCAGCCTGCACCTATGACCAAGGAGATACAACTTCAAAGGTATCTGAAAGGAACCTGGCTTTAGTAATTTAGTTAATACAAGATTCTTCAGAATGGCCTTTCTTCTTTCTCCTTTTCTGGAGAAGATGTGAAAGAAATGATTTATCAGAATGTGTAATCAGAGAGTCCTCCCTGGTGGTGCCGGGGGTTAAGGCACAGCACTATGAAGCTATGCACAGCCACTGCAGTATGAATTTGATCCCCAGCCAGGGAGGTGACCCCACGTGGAGCAGCAAACCACTCCTTTCTCACCTGCTGCTCCCCTCAGCAGTTCATTTCAGAATATCTGCCTGTTCTGCTCCCCACTCTGTCTTGTGAATCCCCAGTCCCTATTTCTGGCCTACAACCCAGCATAAATAAAACTTAAAGAATGTGTAATCAGAAACTTAGGGCTTAAAAGAAACAAATGTG